GTAAGAGTAGTTCATTCCAGTTCATGGTTCCCTCCATGTTGCTAGACTGGGCTTCAACTCACCCTGAGAGATACTGGCCCTAGGAAACAGGATCTCCATCTTCCTACACAGAAATCAGGGACACAGCTGATTCTATAATCTATAATTCTATTATCCTAGTCCCTTTCCTTTATTCCCAACCCTTAAAGGAGGAGAGACTTCTCCAGTACTTGGTTGATGGCTCTTACCATATTTTTTCTATAAAACTTAGCAAGCCCAATGGTACATGCCCAGTAATCCCAGCTACTTGGGAGGCTGTTGCAGGAGGACCACAAGTTTGAGGCCAGCCTGGGCAATTTGAAGAGACCCTATCTCCATAAATACGGGCTAAAATGTAGCTCACTGACAAAGTTTGCCTAACACACAGAGGTCTCTGGTTTAATTCCCAGCATTGAAAAACACCCCAAAAACCTGGTGAATAGTTTCTCTCCTGACATGAGTTACTTTTGAAAATCTTCCTGGTCAAGGATATGCATTTATGTTCTTTCTTTTTTGTCATGTATTTCTAAGAAGAAAATATTTTAGGACTTCATAGCTGCTGCCTCTGACAGATATGGTGCCTAGGCTCTGCTTGTGTCTTGGCTTGGGAAGTTATTTGCTCATTGCTCATGAGTTGCTAAGATAGACTTTGCTGTTCCTTTAACTCTCAGCAGCAAATTATACTTTGTGAATATGATGACTTTGAACAGCTGTGGCATTTTGATGGCACCAGAAGATGGTGAGTGTGCACTTGTGAGAGTTAGGCCATTTCTGAGGTCCCAAGATGGAGCCCTAGGTTAATGTTTACTAGTGAACCTACCAGTTTGGTGAGGAATTTTTCAAGTTTGTCTTTTCATGATAGTCTGAAATGTTAATATTCCTGTTTATCAAGAATTATTAATTGCCCTCTGAATCCATTACTTCTATTACATTTTTATTTGGATTTGGATTGATGACAAGAGAACCAATCAAAAGTGACAATGCTTAACTTTTTTTTTCTTTTGGTACGGGGAATCGAACTTGGGTCCTTACGCTTGCAAGGTAGGTGGCAGAACCACTGAGCTAAATCCCCAGCCCCTGTGTAATTTTTAATATAGAATCTCTATTGAGTATTAGAGAAACTTCTCATTGTGTTCTTTTGAAATGGCAGTATATTCTGAGGCATAGTGGCACTGATGGGCAATAAAGCAGTGGGTTTTTCTGCCCCGTGTGGATGGCACCATCTTTACTTTGTTCAGTACATTGAAATCTCAGTCAAAGCTAGATAATACACTATTTCTGTGCAGGACAGCAAGTAGCCTCCATCAATGAATAGTGCTGGTGGAATCCAATCAGGGACATTTTTAGTTTTCTAGCAGCAGTATGGCAGGTGGAAAAGTTAAGTTTGCGTGTTCTGAACTATTGGTGTTCACTGGTGCTCAGCTTCCTGTACTGTCTATGCCATGGTTACCTTGGATGCCATTTCTCTACCATTAACTTGCTTTTCAAATATCAAGTTTTGGGTATATAAATTATAAGTTTTTGTAAGTTGCAAAGGGCCCAGAGAAAGGAGGTGGTTGGGTAATCAGACATTTATGAGTAGGAAAATATAATGGCAGTATTTTCAGGTAGTTGAATTACTTCATGATGGTGAAAATGACAAATGTATCCTTTCCTAAGATCAAAAGCTGAAACTAGAGAACTTTCTCTAATTAAAAAGGGCACTTAATATGTCTGGATCCTTAGCTGATTAGAAACCATTTGACATTTAAAAGGCAGCTAGTTAGACATTACAACTCTAAAGCCTAGCAGTTAAATTTGAATTGAGAAAGGAAGGAAGATTAATTTTCAAAGGCTTCTTGAAAATTCTGTGGTGATAAATGCTACTTAATCTTAGTGCCTTTTAAAAAAATTATTGGAAAAAAATTATTGGACTAATCAAACCTTGGACACATGTAAGTCTAATTACCTGAAATTAGCTTAAACTTCAGTATGACTTAGAAATTGTGCATGAGTCTGGGGTTTAGCTCAGTGGTTCCTGCGTCTGCCTTGTAAGTGCAAGGACCTGACTTTGATCCCTGGTACCAAAAAAAAGAAAAGGAAAGAAATTGTACATGAATCCCACCTTCTTAAATATTACCCCTTGCTTGCTTCTAGCACTGGCAAGACACCCCACACCCTAGCCCAGAGTACTAACCACAGCTGAAGTACAGGGAATATTTTCTTGCACAAAGAAACAAGATTATTATTTTTAAGACAGAGAGCCTGAAATCTTAAATGAGATGTGATTAAAAATACTAAGATCCAGTTGCTTACAAGTGAAATGCCTCTTCTTCCTCAACTGAAAACCAGGAGTCAGCTGGCTGAACTCAACTTATACCCGCAGCTATGTGAGAGACAGTGTTGGTAAGGGTACACGGAAAAGCCTCTAAAAGAAACTTTAGGAGATTTTTTTCTATCCCTTTGTCTCTGATGTTGGTAACTGGTAGCCTAGATATAACTGGTCAGTCTAGATGCTCAGCTGTATTGTTAAGCCTCTTAGTTTAGTACTAGTTAGAAGGCAGAAAAGCATCAAGAAATCTTTATTCTGATCCAAATAGTAATTTGGGATATGTAATTGCATCATTTTTTAAATTTTATGAAAAAATAAACAAAAATTCATAATAACAATAGTTAATACACTGTGTAACATCTTCAAAGCAGTTACTCAGGGTACAAAACATAAATCAAAAGATTGTTACAAAAAAAAACAATACAAAACTTTATTTTCAACAAACTAGGATAGACTAGTATAAATGAAACATTAGCATATGTATTGAAATATTTTTTAAACAACATGTAAGATGGGGAAGTTTTAATGGTGAAAAAACACATTCCAGACTGTTAAAATACTGGGTGGTAGGATAGCCAGTGCTTCTAGTAACCTTTCCTACAAATCTCATCATGCGATAGCTCTTCGAGATTAACATTCTACTTCATTCAGGTGCTGATTTTTGGATGTTACTGCTAGCATCTTTCTAAGCATTTCAGTGAGCTTTAATCACCTTTTGTGCTGATAACTCAGATGTACACTTTCTAAGATGTCCTTTTTTTGAGTGTGCTGCAAAACTGATAACCATGAAATCCAGTTTAATTAGCACTTGATGCACTGGGGCAAAGACTTGGCAATTTTTTTTGGTCCCAGGGATTGAACTCAGGACCTTGGGCTTGTGAGGCAGGCACAGAGCCACTGAGTTAAACCCCTGGCCCTGGCAACTTGTTCTTAACAGACTTACAAGTTTGATAAAACAACCTAAATAAATAGGTAGCTGACCCAGATGTGGTGGAGCACGCCTGTAATCCCAGCACCGGGGAGGCTGAGGCAAGAGGATCGCTGTGAGTTCGAGACCACCCTGGGCTACATAATGAGCTCCAGGTCAGTCTCAACTACATAGTGAGACCCAGTCTCTAAAAACCAAAAGAAAAGAAAAGAGAAAAGAAAAGAAAAGAAAAGAAAAGAAAAGAAAAGAAAAGAAAAGAAATAGGTAGCTGAGCCAGCAACATTGGGAGATACTAATCGCAAAAACTTAGCCCTAAATTTTGTGGGAAATGCCAGTGAGTATGGTGGCACACATCTGTACCGCCAGCCATTGAGAGGCTGAAAAACTTGAGTTCAAGGCCAGCCTGGGCTACGTGGTGAGTCCCTGTATCAAAACAAAGAAAGAAAAAGGGTAAGGAGGGAAAGAAGGAAGGAAATGCTAATGGTTGAATAACTTTCCTCCATATGGACACCTCATTAACCTATCACCATGGAAACAAAAATAATTTGAAAAAGATAGTGGCTTCCACTAACTAATTGAGAAAGGTATTTCGTGGAATTACAAGACCCCCCCAAAAAAAATACAAAATGAAAAAGCTGTCTTGTTCTTAGCTTAAACCCCCACTAATAAATGTGGGTTGTAGCTCAGTGATAAACACCTACCACTAAAATAAATGGGAAAAAAGGTTACCCAAAGAAATGACCAAAAAATCCCAAATACAATTAATTTAAAACATTAATCTTGTTAAGTAAAACCAGTCATGGTCACTAATAGGAGTTTGTGGGAAATTCTGTAAGACTTTTGCTTATCAGTATGGAAATTTGCTAATCAGATTTGTATTTAGAATTGCAGGGTGGTCATTTTCAACGTGAATTCAACTAATTCATTTTGACAGGTTGGAAATAATTTTCTTTCAGGTACTGGAAAGCGCAGGTATAAAGTGGTTGTAAACATTTCTTGCACCTTTTCACTAAGGCTCTTGAAGCATTTTTCAAGCAATAAAAACACAAGTATCTGTATTACTGATGGCAAAGGAAAAAGAGAATCCCAAATCATTATACCGTTGGATGTATCTTTGCTTCAGAAAATGATTTGTAAGTTGGCCTGCGAATCAAGTTTTTGTGCTGTTCAGCATCAGGAAGAATTGGATTGGTAAGAATAATGATCACCAGGCCAGTAAATGAAGGTAGAAAACACAAGTTGCAACGTTGTTCTTTTCTCACGATCTCTTTTCAACATGACATGGAATTCATAGAGAGAAAGTGACCTCCGTGTTTGAAAAACTCTACCACCCACTTCTTTTCAAAATGCGTAAGGCTTTTCCCCGGCCCTGCCTGATAATCACATTGTGGACCCCTCAAGGGACCACAGTTCCGAGGGCCTCCGCGAAGTCGCGCAGGGCCAAGGCTGGCGGTTCCAGCTCCCACTGAGCACCGCACGCAGCACACTGCGCCTTGCACACCAGACACCCTCTGCTGGCAAAAGGACCCAGACTGCATCATGTAATAGTGGTTTTAAAATTAATTTTTAAGTAACAGGCCTACAGGCTTAAATATATTGTCCTACAATTTTTTTTGAAATATTAGGGGTACTGTGTCGAATAAGCGGAAAACGGAGCGAGCCACGCACATGCGCAGCCCACCCCCGACCCTTGACGGCCACCTCCCCGCCACCTGCCAGCACGTCCCACTCCGTCTACAATTTAACTAAAACAAGTGGTGAATCCAGCAAAAAACACAGGAATCTTAGAAATTCATTCTCTATCTTGTTTGTCTTCGGTATGGACAGAGCGTCATACTGGCTGTATTTTCCCACGAATTCTTTTTAAAACGCCTTTTGAATTTCGACCTCCCCTCGCCTTTGAAATGGTTCCTTCCAGGAGTCCCGGAACGCGCGGTTAGAACCATTCTGTACTCTAGGCGGGAGGGAGAGTAGGGGTGGCCGAGAGGGAGGTTTTTGCAGTGGTGCCTGGTTTCGCCCCACTCTTCAGGACTTTGGGACCGTCTCCATGTTCCCGAATGCGGGTTTGGAGGACTTCGCGTGTCAGGGCGCGTTCGGGTGTTTCCTGCGCCCCTGACAGCGTGGGGCTGATGGTACGATCGGCCGAGTCACGCGCTCTGGGCTCCGAGCCGACTGCAGGAGGTGCGGGCATCGCCGGTGAGTGCTGCGGCTCTGCGTTCGGCCAGCGCCCTTCGACTGTCACGGTCGGGGCTGACATTTCCCCTGCGGGGTCGGGGACAGAGGTGGCCCCCGCTGCGCCCTTGTGGGGCCGGGGCCAGCAATCATGAAGTACCTGGCACAGTTAGGGGTGGGGCTGCTGCGTCGTGGTTTGGGGCGAGCCGGTTTTCGCTGGGCAGAGATCTGGCCCGAGGACTGGCGGAGGGGGATCGGCGGAGTTTGGGTTGGTCCGAGGTGGGCGGGCGAGTGATTGGAGGGTTAGGACTGAGAGGGTGGTGTCACCGGACTCTGACACGTACGGGGACGGTGAGGCACACATCCCTAAACTGCCGGGATGGGGGAGGTAACCTGGATTGAAACCGCTGGTCAGAGTCATTGAATATTGCCCGGAGAGGGTACTCTCTCACCACCACCACCATCCCCGTCCTGATTTTGTCATATCTGGTTTGGGGGAAGACTGTGGTTTCCTTCCTTTCTCCTGGGCTGGTATTCCGAGAAAGGCCTCTGATGAGCTGATAGGCCTCATTTTCTATCCAGGGCGGGGAGAGGCCTTCCTTCTCTTTGGTTTGGAGGATATTGTCAGACTCACGTTTATGCCCTGGAAACAATATTCAGCCCTTAGACTCGTGTGGATTGAGGTCGTCATGGTCACCAACAGTCATGAGAGGCAGAGGGCAAGCTTAGTGGAAGTAGGTCCTGGTTCTCCAGCTCTTGGGTGCCTGGCACAACCCATAGTGTCCCGCTGTGATTGGAGGAACTTTGTCACAGCAGAAAAGGCCACAGTCAGTCTAGTGCTGGAGGCACTAGATTATCACTATTGTCATTAAGTAATTGAGCAACAGTGGCACGTGACAGACACTGTTTGTCTTGCTGGTGTCTTACGTCAGGGAGCTCTGTAATTGGAAATCCAGGTGAAAGCAGTAGATGCAGTAGAGCTGGGAGAGAGTCTGAACTGAACGGGATCCCCTGCAGAAGTTTTCACCCAGTGAGTCCTTGTTGCGATCCCAGCTCTGACTTGGGCTTTCTGTGGAGAGTATGTAGTGCTAGCAGCTGCTTGTTCATTGCTGGATGAGATCCATTATAATCACCATATTTACCTACAGAGTGCTCTAACTTGGTAGCCTTTTAGTGGCCTTTTTATATCTACTTTTGTAGTATTGAGGATTGAACTCAGGGCCTTTGCACTGAGCTGCAGCCCCAGCCCTTTATTTTTTACTTTGAAGCAGAGTCTTGGTAAGTTGCTAATTCCCAGGGTGGGCTCAGACTTGTGATCCTCTTACCTCGGCCTCACAGGAATGTGCCATGACGTATGATCTAGTGGTGTCTTTAATCCTCCATGGTCCAATGAGATGACCATAGGAAGAAAGGATGAAGAAGAACAGGGCCAGGGGGCACCAGGGAGTGGGAGGCTGATGCAGGTGTCACTGTCCAGGGCCAGGCCTTGGCTCAGCCAGTGGGCACATGGACAGGTACCCACCTCTTGGAGAAATTTAAATACTTGCTTTAAGTTTGATGATGGCTGTGGGATGGCAAAGGGTTTCTGCCTGTTCCTTGGATTCCAGAGAGCTTGTTAGGGTGATTTTTAGGCATATCCTAATTTGTTGAGCATGCATCTTAGAATTGGAGAGTGACTGAAAAACTGATGTCATGCAACCCAAAATTCAGATGTGATGTGTAGTGCCAACCCCAAGAAGCATGTTTCTCAGCTCTGGTAGTATTCAGGGAGGTTAAGTAACGTGTGATGCCAGCTGGCTGCTGAGGGCTACAGACACAGGTTATAAGTCTGTGTCGCTCTGAAACACTACCTAGGGTTCCTCCCCAATAGCTGCCTCAGGCAGTAGTGTGTGTGATCCAAAGGTTCAGAACTCTTGTTGGACAATATTTTTCATCAAAACAAAACTTAATAGTAATAGAGTAGCATGTTAATCCTAGGTGCTGGAAAGTGGCAGAGTTGCCTCCAGTTTCCCCTTCTCATTAGAAAAAGGAAAGAGAAACTTCTAGACTTGGCTTGCTGTGTGTGCTGCCAGAGCAGCCTCCTTACAGCCAGTAGTACAAGGAGGGGGACTACATGTTTTAAAGATACTTTCGGTGCACACCTGTAATCACAGCACTTGGGAGGATGAGACAGGAGGGTCACTAGGAGTTCAAAGCCAGTCTGAACTATACAGTGAGACCCTGTCTCAAACAAACAAAAAACAAAACAGAACAACAAAATGTATATATATTGTATTTTCAAGATACTTATGTTTAAGAGATCCTTTTTTTTCAATTTTTATTTTTTTATTAGTACATATTTTCAGTGCATAATGATTACATTTCTCTTAGGGAGTTGGGAGATCTTTTTTCAGATACTGCAATAGAGATGTAAAACTTCAGGTGTGATGTCAGCCATGCTTAGAAGGCAAGATGGCTGCTGAGCTATTCGGAGCCACAGGTGTAGAGCTGGAGATGTAGCTCAGTGATAGAGTGCTTACCTAGCATAACTGAGCTTCTGGCTTCTGTTCCCACTTTGAGAAAAACAAAGCCAAAAAACCCCACAGATATCTTAGTTTTCTGTCACTGTGACAAAATACTTAAGAAAATCCACTTAGGAAGAAAGATCTATTTTGGCTCAGGGTTTCAGTTGCTGGTTGCTTGACTCTGTTGCTTTGGGCTTGGGATGCGGCAGAACATCACAGTTGGACCTTGTCGGGAAGCAGAGCTGCGTGCTTCCGTGGCATCTGGAAGCAAAGGGACAGAGGTCCCAGTATCCCCTTCAAGGGCCCAGTGACCTAACTTCCTCCCACTAAACGTCACCACCTAAAAATTTTACCACCTCTCCCGCTAGCACCATCATCTGACAGCCAAACCTTCAACACACAGGGACATTTAAAATCTAAACCACCACAAAAGATGATTTTTCTGAATCTTTGAGATGCTTTGATTTGAGATTGGCTATAAGCTGCTTGAATGACAGAAGTCACTGGTCTTAGAATTACCTGTGATTTTATTTTTCCTTCCCTAGAAATTGTCAAGACTTCGCATATGACTGCTGTTGCCATGGCTGACTTGCCTGGCAGGTCTTTGCATACTCTGGTCTAGTTGGGCTGGTGGAGGTGTGATTCTGCTAAGTTGTAAGGTCAGTATCAGTTCTGGAAGGAACCTTAATTCTCTCCCATTTCTACTTCAAAAGAAGATGTGACCTCCTTTTCCAGGGTTACTGCCTCCCTCTTTACTTTGGGTCCTGCTTTCCCTTCTTCATTACCCAACCTCCTTATTCTATCTGTGATCGTTGTATTTCTTCCACAGTGAATACTTGTCTAAGTGCAGTGCTGGGGATGGAACCCAGGGCCTCTTGTGTTCTAGGCATGTACTCTGCCGTGGGGCCACAGCCCCAGCCCACAGGGTATTCATAAACCATCATGGTCCTTGACCCTGTTGTTGTGAGCCCTCTATTTAAACTCAGTCTTCTTGGTTCCTGTGCCACTGGCCTTTCCATGGTTGTGCCTTGAATCTTTCCTGTCCATGGACACATCCCTTTGCTCCTGTAAAAGTGTCATCTCTTCTGTGGGCAACTCCATATTTACCCATTTGTTCAGCACCTGCTAATCTGTGTCAGGAACTGTTGTAAATGCTGGGGTATAACAATTAACTAGATTTGTAAAAAGGGAGCACAAACAACACAGCTCCTGGAGTGAAAAGTGCTGGTACTCAAAGCCGGGGAAGGGGTGAGTGATAAGGGGAGGGTACTGAAAAGGGGGAAGGGAGGGGCCGATTAGGGAGGTTCTACGGAGGAACAGGCAAGTGGGCGCTGAGTCTTGAGGAGAAACAGCCAGATGCGGAGTGTCGTGGGCCTTCGCCCTGAGCCCCACCGTCTCTGACAGTGTAGCTGACATCTCTGTGGGACTCGCAGGGATCTGTCCATCTCCATCCCTGGCCGGTTGGGCAGATTCACACTGCATCTCCCTGCTTTGAATCCCTAGGTTAAACATCACAGGCAGGCCGTGTGACTGGCCAAGCCTTACTTATGTCCATGCCTGCCAGGGGTGAGGACATTCGGAGGAGCTCCCCAAAAGAAAAGAATATTTGGGCTGTGGTCAGTGCCCATTGTGCAGTTCCACATTTAGAAGTGTGAATGGCCCTTGTTGCTTTGCTACCTTCTGTGGTCTCCTTGAACTGTTTTTCCTGCCGCACCATCCTGCCTTAGAGCCAGCTGATTATGGACTAAAACCTCTACAAACTGTGAGCTAAATAAACCTTTCCTCCTTTAAAAAAAAAGTAAAATTAAAGCCAGGTGTAGCAGCGCACGCCTGTAATCCCAGCACTCCGGGAGGCTGAGGCAGGAGAATCGCTGTGAGTTCGAGACCAGCCTGGGCAACATAGTGAGTTCCAGGTCAGTCTCAACTACATAGTGAGACTCTGTCTCAAAAAACAAAACAAAACAAAAAAGTAAAATTTTAAAAAGTTTGTGAATGTTTTTCTGTTGCTTTGAGCAAAGTGTTTCAGGGGAATTTTCTGTGATTACAGAATTGTCCCATAACCTGTACTGCTCAGATGGTAGCCACGATACCCATGTTCTGTGAGCAGTGAAAACCTGGCTTTCAAGACTGAGGAGCTGAGTTTTGCTGTAGTTAGTTAAAGTCTAAGTTACCACATGTGGCTGTGGTTTGGAGAGTTTAGGGCCACTCTAGGCTGGTATTTCAGACTCACCAGCCAGCCAGTGTGGCCTGCGGTGTCCATGAATTAGATATGGTAGGGATGCCAGCTTTAGCTGTCCCCCTCTGTTGTGTGGGCAGTGGATGCTGGGCATGCAGTGTATCACTGAACTGAACCCTGGACCCTACCTCCGCCTGTCCCACTGTGGTCTACAGATGTTGCCTCCACCCACATGTGGCTGTGCCCTCATCTGTAAAGCTGTCCCTGATTTTCCCTAAACAGAGGCTCTTCACCTGCTGACCTTCCTATGAGGAGGAATAAATTACCTCGTAACTCACTACCAGCCTCCATCTGTGATAGCAGTGGGTATTGTGGACTTTTAATATGTTCCTGCTGACTTGAACCTCAACAATTTTACCCTTGGAATTGCTTGAACCACAAGCCACTGGATGGGGCAGATATGCCTGTAGGGCCCCATTGTGAACATGTTAAATTGTTTCACTAGCTCCAAGTTAGAGGAAAGGACTTCCATTGATTCCATATCCTGCCAGTCTCACCCTGTTCCCGCCACTTCCACAGAACAGCTCCTAGCTGGGTCAGTAACTTGCTTTTGCTGTACAGGAAACTTTCAGTAATATCAAATGGTTCCAGTGCTCCTGGGGCACGGGGGAGATTTTGGGGTGTGGCAAGTACAAGTCTGCTAATGGTATCCCTGCCCCCACAGGCCTCTTCCCCACCTCCGAGGCACCATGAATGCCATTGTTGCCCTCTGTCATTTCTGTGAGCTCCATGGCCCTCGCACTCTGTTCTGCACGGAGGTTCTTCACGCACCCTTGCCCCAAGGAGCCGGGAGCGGGGACAGCCCTGGCCAGGGTGAGCAGGCTGAGGAGGAGGAGGGCGGCATCCAGATGAGCAGTCGAGTCCGCGCCCACAGCCCAGCTGAAGGAACCAGTGCTGAGTCTAACAGCCCAGGGCCCAAAAAGTCGGACATGTGCGAGGCAAGTGTCTTTGGGATCTTGGGGACATTTTGCTCTCCTCGGAGGTGGAAGGGGATGTGAGGACAGGAGACCTAGGGCCCTGAGAGCACTGGGTGAGTCCTTCGGATGATGACCAGCCTCCCCGGGTTCTCAGTAGGCCCTTAAATGTGCTTATCTCTGGGTACCTTTGGTTCTTTCCCTTTGTCTCAACTTAGCTTTTGTGATTGATTGTTTGTTTGTTTGTTTTCACCAGTACTGGGGATGGAACCCAGGATTTTGTGCATGCTGGGCAAGCACTATTCTGCTAACCTACCTCCCTAGCACTTATTTAAAATGTTTTTAAAATCTCCCTGAAACATGTCTTGGTAAATTGCTCAGGCTGGCCTTGAACTCTTGTTCCTCCTACCTCAGCCTCAAGTAGCTGGGGTTACAAGCATGTACCACGCGCACCAGCCCAGTTTTTAGCTTTTTGATCTGCTCCGTTCCGGCAGACAGTTGCCACCCCAGTTTGGCATGTACCTTTGAGTTTGTACACCCCAGCCATCCTTGGCTTGCGTCCCTTCAGTCCAGCATCCCCAGGGGAGTTCCTCACAAGAGTCCTGGCATTCTTTGTTGTGTTGGTTTATGAGCTCTGAGGAATACAGCTGAATAGTCCACTTTGGTGGTGGCTGTGGATTGGGCTTGAATCTGGGGTGAGGGTTGGACCTGCCATTCTAGGGCCAACAGGACTCCAGACTCCTCATTTGGTTCTACTCAGAAGTAGGCAATGTGCGATTGCTAAAAACACCTTCAAGGGAGACAAGTGTAGGGAGATCATTTGGACCTGGGAAGGAGGAGTCTGGGAGCTTGGCCAAGCCACCTAGGTGGTGTCCAGGCTGCTGTGGAGTCCTGCATCTGTCTTTTGGGAGGGGCTGACTCAGGGCCCCGCAAGATGCGCTAATGTGGCAGAGTGTCGGAGCTGTGTAAGGATGTAGCCCCCCGCCAAGCAAATGGTCTGAATGGAACCGTCTCAGGCTGCCACACTAACACTATGAAGGCCACTGTCCTGTGGTCACTCTGGCTCCTTGACTCTGACCACGGCCTCTTCCACATGTTCTTCAGGACCAAAGACAGAGGCCTGGGTGGGGGATTAGTAGCACTGCTCAGAAGAATGGCACGGCTTTGGTCACTGGGACCAGCTCCTTCCCAGCTCAGCTTCACTTTTGTCTTAAAATGGGGTGTCTTCCTGGCATCACCTCATAGGGTTGTGCTCTGAATTCAGTAAGGTAAGGCATGAGGACCTCTTCATAATAATCTGCAACATAAGTGCTCAGCAAGTCTTCTGGCCTCTCTCAACTTTTATGAACCCGGGGTCCTGGGTCCTGGTTTTCCTACTTAGGAAACATTTAAGTCCTCAAATGACTACAAATCTCTGTGCCAGTACAAGGAAAGTGATTTGTAACTTAATTAACTTCATTTCCTTCTTGTGAATAGGGCTGCAGGTCGCTCGCTGCGGGGCACCCAGGCTATATCAGCCACGATAAAGAGACCTCCATTAAGTATGTCAGTCACCAGCACCCCAACCACCCCCAGCTCTTCAGCATTGTCCGCCAGGCCTGTGTCCGAAGCCTGAGCTGCGAGGTGAGCCTGGGGCTGTGCGCAGGCTTAGTGCCAAAGTTACAGACGGGAGAGGAAAGGTGACTTCTCCCAGAAGGCCTGGCACTCACTGCAGTCTAGAGTATGGCGTACCTTGGCTACCTTGAATTTAAAAGAATAAGTCACGATGGACTCTAGTTTTCTAGATGGGTGCTACTAGCTTTGCTTCTTTCTTTCTCTCTCTATTTTTTTTTTTTTCTTTCTTTTTTGGAGACAAGATCTTACTACGGAGGCCAGGCTGGCCTTGAACTCACTGTGTTATGCAGACTAGGTGAGGCTTGAACATACAGCCATCCTCCTGAGTGCTGAGATTGTGGGTGTGCACCACCCTGCCCCGCTCAGGTTTCACTTTAAACTCCACTTTTCTCTATTCCTTTTGGATACCTTTCTCAGATGTGAATGATTTCTAGGATATGTAGTCACTGTATCAAACATCACTTTTTTTTTTTGTTAAATTTATTATGATGACATTCATCATTGGGAATTTGTACCTTTACATGATGTATCTTAGTTATTTTTTTCCCCACTCCCCTGCCTTCAAGCCCCTCCACCCCTCCCTGTTTACAAAGACTTTGTTTCCATTTTTTTCTTTTCCAAATTTATTCCTTTCCCCTTTCCCCCTCTCCCTCCCCTTTCTCCTTCCCCTTTCGACCTTTTCTTCCTATTTCACGTTATCTGTTATTCATTTTAATCCTTGTTTACACTTTCAGTTTCTCACGCCAGAGAACAAAACACTTTTTTTTTTTGGTACCAGGAATGGAACTCAGGCCCTTGCACTTGCGAGGCAGGCAGTGGAACCTCTGAGCTAAATCCCCAGCCCAATATCACTTTTTAATTGTCTTGGTCATCACTGTATGTCCCAGAGTTCATCATGTGTCGCTCTCAATACCTCCTGAAGCGTGCATCGATTTGTTCCTAAACTCTCGCTGCTTCTGTTGCATTTGAGTCTTGGCTTTTAGTTTCTTGCTGACTCTCACTGTTGCTTTATGCCCACTGTCAATAATTCCCTCCCTAAATTTCCTGCTGTGCCTCTGCTGGCAGGCAGATGACCATATTTACTTCATGTGTGTGTGTGTTTTTGGTACTGGGGATCAAACTTGGGACCTTGCACTTGTGAGGTAGGCGGTGGAACCACTGATCGTGTGTGTGTTAAGCATAAAGATGTCACAAGGGAGGAACTGAGGGCTAAGAATAGAGCATGCAGATTTGACTGTAGTGGCTGTTTAGACCTGTTAGTTCTTTAGTCTACTCAGACAAGCAGGTGGGCACATTTGAATGTAGGGTAGAAAAAATATTTGTCAGCAGTCCTTTATGGCTCAAGATGGACAAAAGTTAAGGAGCCCTAGTGTACCAGCCCTAGCATTCCATGTAACACATGTTACTTCTAGAAAGTTTGATGGGACTGCAGGGTAGGGGATGTTGCGTAGTGATACAGTGTATGCTTAGCATGTACAAGGCCCTGTGGGAGGTCCATTCCCACCACCAGGAAAAGGAAAAAAGAAGAAGAAAAGTGAGTTTGCACACAAGAGCTTTCTGCTCTCACGTGTGTCCTCCCCATCTCCGTGTGAGTATTGCTGGCTAACTCGTGCCAGCGGAGGCCTGACAAGGTGTAACTTGGTGGGGAACTTGCCTGGCTGAGCATGCACAAGGACCTGGGTTCTGTTCCAGGCAGTGGGAAAAAGGTCTGAAGGGGAAGCTTTGACCCTGTGTCACTGAAACGACTGTCCCTCGAGTCACTGTGATTTCCTCCCAGGTGTGCCCTGGCCGTGAAGGGCCCATTTTCTTTGGGGATGAGCAGCATGGTTTTGTGTTCAGCCACACCTTTTTCATCAAAGACAGCCTGGCCAGGGGCTTCCAGCGCTGGTACAGCATCATTGCCATCATGATGGACCGGATTTATCTCATCAATTCCTGGCCCTTCCTGCTTGGGAAGATCCGTGGGATCATTGATGAGCTCCAGGGCAAGGCCCTCAAGGTAACATCTTGGGGAGGCACCAGGGACTGCTGGAGTCTCTTCTTACTCTTGTGTGGATGCCAGCAGCCCAGGCAGCTTTGCTGCTGTTGGTCCTGTGGCTGCTGTGCTGCCCAAGCTGCTTCTTGGCTTCAGAGTTGAGGTCCTGGGATGGGCATCCTGGCCTGCTGCCTGCTTTACTCTTCGCACCTGTGTTCACGGTCCTGGGGTTTCCTTGCAGCAGTCAGGCCACTGGCTTCCTCCTTCCTGTCTTTGCTTCCCCTGCCCTTCATGTCAGAGACTGCCCCTTAGTCTTGGTGCGATCCCCTCCCCCAAGTAGAGGCCTCCCACTCTAGTGCTGTCTCAGGGTAGGACAGGGTGCTGTTGTGAGAGCCCTCGGACTGCAGTGTCTCTAGACCACAAGGCCTGGTTTTCGCCTGTGTTGAAAGGTTGTGGAGGGCCCTGCCTTTCCTCTGGTTGCTGGAGGTAGTCGCATGGCCCTTATGTGCAGAGGGGAAGGCCAGAGCACTTGGAGATCAGTACTCAGGGCTGCTGCAGGGATTGTGTCGTCCGAGTACCTAGTAGGTTCCTAAAGAGCCAGTGGTAGGAGAGTGGCCAAGAGAAATCTCTACCGGTTCCCTTTCGAAAGGGGGCAGAACCAGCCTGGGTGTGATGGTCAGACTGCAGGTGCTTTCTGTGTTCTGTGTCAGGAGACACAGTGAGTGTCTGGGAGGAGCAGTGTCTGCCTCAGGCTGACTTGATTATCGGCTGCTCTCTCCTTGCCTTTTCAGGTGTTTGAGGCAGAGCAGTTTGGATGCCCCCAGCGAGCTCAAAGGATGAACACGGCATTCACACCCTTCCTGCACCAGAGGAACGGCAATGCAGCCCGCTCACTGACTTCCTTGACCAGCGATGACAACTTGTGGGCCTGTCTGCACACCTCCTTCGCCTGGTAACGAGTGCCAGCTTTTGGCCGCTGTTAGAATGATAGCAGTCACTAGTGTTGGTTGGATTATCCTGAGATTTGGGAGAAAGTCTGTGCCGAGTTTGCTGGGCTGTCTACTGGTGGAACTGGCCAGTTGGCCCTGGTGGAGGGAAGAAAAATTTAGGTGGAACTTGCTTCTCACTATTACCAAAAAATGTTTCTGTACCAAGACCAGTACTCCCCTCCTTTAAAAACAAAAACATTTATTTCACAGCTCCTGTGAGTTAGGAAGTCAGAATTGGCTTAGCTGGGTCTTCTGGCTCAGGTCACAGGAGGCTTTTGGCTGGGGCTGTAGTCAGCTGAGGCCTAACTAGAGGGGCGGAGTGAGCAGGGCTGGCTGTGGGCAGGGAAGAAATGAAGCTGGCACCTTCAGAGTGCCCCATCTGAGAGAATCTACAAGGTTTTATGGCCCTGAGCTTGGCAGGGACCTGCTGTCCCTTCCGGCACTTGCTGTTTGGTAGAAGTGTGTGCTGTCACTTGAGCCCGGGCCTGTGGGGAGGATTGGCCTCTAGCACCTTGTAGGGGAAAGGTGTCAGTACATGTGTGGACTTGTAAAACTGCTCGTGTATTTCTGGCTGTGCACTATTCTGTCCTCCCGATGTAGGGTATCTTCCTGCCAGAACCCCCAACCCTTAGCTTGTTCCCATGTGGCACCAGCTTAAAGTCCATGTCTTGTAGAGTAGATCTGTCCTAACATGAAGAAATCCTGAGGTGGACCCAAGTTCACCTCCTAAGATCCCACAGACTGAAATGTATCTGTTCCCCCACCTGTCATGTAGTCTTTCCTGTACCTAAAAATTTTTTAAGTTGACAAGTAAAAAGTATATATATATATATGTATAT